AATGTTTTATTTCTGAGTACTTGCAGTAAACCTTTTTTTGTATGTTTGTTGTAAAATGCTTCCGTGCAAAAGGCCTGAATAATAAAGTCATTAGTCAATCATTACAGTCATTACAAACTGTAGTACTGCATACACATTGATATCCAATTACCATACATTCAGAAAAGTAAGGACACTGAAATTGCTCCATGGTGCTTTCATCTATAAACCAAAATACTTGATATTAGAGCACCTACTCTTGAAAAACGAACAACCAACTTGTTAGAGAAAGTCAAATAACATTTGAACCTCAGCTTCTTTTTGATTTTCAGTCAAACGAAAACTTATTGATAACCACTCTATAGATTGCTTGAAAAAACAAAACCGACATTTGTGCTGCTGAACTTCAGCGGTTCAACTCACCCAGTGGTTTTGGTTATAGCTTATGTGGGTCAAGAAAATTCCACCAAAATAGTTAAACATGACCTACCTTATTTTCTCAGACCAACTAATCTTTCAGCCATATATTTTTTCTACTGCCAGATGCCTGGCGGTTACGCATAGTGTCCGTGACGTGATAACCAATGGCACAGCGCTTGTAGTATACTGTCTGATACCTTTCGATAAAAATTGTCGTATATTGTTTTATCAGACTGCTATGTGAGGGTACCGAAAGCTGGTGGGTAAAAGGTAAACAGTTACATTTTGCAGAATTGATTGGAAAAGCGAGCATTTTTTATTGTGACCTGCTCTGAGATCGGCGTTAGCTAGCCTCATGCAACCATATTGTCAGCCTAACTAGAAACACTCAGCATCGTTTACAACAGGCAAAGGGGCTAGAAAAATTAGGCCCAAGCAAGAAGCTGTGAAGAGTTGACTGACTTCTTTGAAAAAATACCATGGTTGGAGTGTTTACAAAATAAATTTACCAAGTGACAGTGGATTCTTGCTGTTGTAAGCACATATTTAAGCGATGTTCAAGTTGTATCACACCTAAATGAATCAGCATGGATTTTGTCTGCCGTCCCTCTATGACGAAGAGACGAGTAAACACACGGGCAAAATATGCTTATAGAAAATTTATGACTGATGCCGGGTTTCTTGAAAAATACTGCATTTTAAGGGGTCCTCTTGAACGATATACACGGACAATGTATTCACTGATATATACCTCATAACAGTCACAGAGTAATTGTATTTGAAACAAGCTTGATACAGTACGTTAACAGCGCACCGTTACACTGTGAAATATTACAATATAGACAGCTACAACAACTATAGACGATAGAATTTGTTGTAGTTAGAAATGAAATATATAGGATAACGATCGAACGTATAAGAATTGAAAAACATAATTAGACACAACAACACAGAACGTATATTATCGAATCGTACGTGACACCAAATTATACGGGATGTTGGAACAGTAAAACAATTGCATAACAGAAGGAGACAAAGCATGTCAGTCATGTTCATCATATCCGCCACACCTTGAATGGGCGTGCGGATATTTGTTATTCCGTGGTGGTCTTGATTCCAAACGTTTAGACCTTCTGACTATCGGTTCCTCAAGTGTTTCTTCTACTTCACGCATGGCCTCTACTTCAGTAACGTCAATTGCTTCCAATACAACGGGATTATCTAGAAAGGACTCGTTAGAATTCGAAGCAAAAGGATTTTTGATATCAGACCAACCTCTAGAATTGAACTCAATTTGATCAACATGTCTTCGATGGCAGAAAAAGTCTTGCAAGTCAGGAATATTAACCGCGCGATTTCCGTGAGAAGAAAGAACTATTCCATTAACAGGATGTAGACCGTTGCCTTTGAAAAATGCAACGTCAGCTGTTTTTGTACAGTCAAGGCTTGTACGTAGAGAACGAGATTTGAAAAGGATCGCGGGACTCTTTCCACTTACCGAATGTGATGCATTTCTGTACTGCATGAGAAAATTATCGATTCCTCGATAAAATTCCACAAATGAGTTTGGTGTTAGAGAAGCAATGGCAGACTTCAGTGTGCGTGCAAATTTTTCTGCAAGTCCATTGGATGGTGGATGTTGTGGAGCAGTAAACAAATGCCGACACCCAAGTCCTTTAATCCATTCTTCTAAAGACTTGGCAGTGAAATGAGTACCATTGTCGGTGACCAAAGCAGCAGGTACACCCTCGCGACAGAATAGTTTTCTCAAAGCATGTCGATGATGAAGTGAGAAAAACTTCAGGCCATCTAGAGTAATCATCAATAATCACTTGGGCATTGTATTTCCCCAGAAAAGGACCACAGTAGGAACTCTCTGAAATGTTTCAAACGTTACAAGCCACGGAAGCCATCGTGATTGTTTTGTATGAATTTTGTGTATACATTTGGTACAATTATTGGCAGTGTGTTTAATGTCTTATTCTAATTCCGGCCACCAGCAAGATAAGCGTGCAAGCGATTTCATCTTATCAACTCCGAAATGTCCGGAATGCAAGTCCGCAAGGATATCAAATCTCAGAGTCGGTGGAGTTACAACACGATCATCAAAACACAGTAATCCGTCTGGAATAATGGACAAACTTTCACGGCGACAGTAAAAGGCAGGAAATCTACGCCGCTGCAGCTGTGTCCAGCCACGTCTTAAGGCAGAAATAATAGGATCAAAAAATTCAGGAGTATCGCACACAAATGCATCTCTTTTTACTGGCAGTGGTTGAACTAATAAGCAGTCAGCATTGTCAGAGTTTGAGTCAGGTGACGAAAATCTGGATAGGTAATCAACATGGGGAATAGTTTTTGCACTACGATGAATGATCGTGTAATTGTAGGAACTGAGGGCAATGCTCCAGCGTTGCATCATACCAGCAGATGACTTTGCCAGCGATGTGCTGGGATGATTCAGAAATTTTAAGGCTTCATGGTCTGTTGCAATAGTGAATGAGAGTCCAAAAGGGTACTTATGAAGACTTTTAACAGCCCAATATACTCCAAGGGCTCCACGTTGGGTCTGAGAATACCCACGTTCGGCTTTAGACAAACGACGTGAGATGCATATAACAGGTCTACCACACTGTTCAAGAACCGCACTTATTCCAGTGGAAGAAGCACCTGTAGTCACCACAAATTCTCGGTGTAATTCCATCAGCTTTTAGTGGTGTCACTATTGGAGTCGCCCACTTTGACGAGTCAACAGGCGTTATTACTCCTTCATCACACATGGCTTGCAATTCTTTGTGAACAGATTCGTCACTTAAGAAAGACTGGATCTCCCGAAGCTTCAAGCTTTACCTTTGGTATTCGCATCCCCCCTGTGGCCTTAGAACAGTCCAGTATAAGTTGTCTAATGTCAACGTCGTTCACTGACGTCAGTAGCGAAATGTCAGAATGTAGCAGTCGTAAAACTTTGAGTCCAAGAATATAAGGACCTGAGCTTGAAACTAAAAATTGACAGTCAATAGGGCTAGAATCGGACAACTTCACCGATACGGTGCAACAGCCTACAAGAGGCAATGAACGACCAGTGATACCAAGAATGTTAACTGGTGTGGGTTGCAGAGCTGCATCAGGATAAAATACAACTAGGTCTGAATGTGAAATTATTGATTCGACACTACCGGTATCAACGATAAAATTGTGACTTTCGCCAGAAGCAGACACTAACGTTTCAAAAACATGAGAAGTGTTTTGGGGCAAGATAGATAAAGAAAGAGTAGAATTGTTATCAGTTAATGGTTGAACATTTGAATTAGAATTTGTCGTTAAGTGACATGAACGTCTAGACTTACATACCGATTGAATATGACTCACTTTGCCACAGCCGAAGCACTTTGCCTGTCTCAGTGGACATAAATACCGGGAATGATTGCGTTCACAGGTTGCGCATTTCCCAAATTGTTGTTAAACTAGATTCGCATTACTTTCTGTAGAAAATTGAACGGATGGTCTTGGCACACGGAAATCAGTACGCGGTTTAAATGTGTTATCTTGTTTCGGCCTTGAATTGTTGCCTTTAGAATAATTACGGAGAACCTCAGTAGTCTTCGTAACTTGTTTTACGTCCTCATACTGTTCATACACTTTACGAATGATCTGGAATCTTTGATCAAGATGCAAGAGAAGCTTCCTTTGTAGCTCTGGCAAGTTAATACCAGCAATCAACCGATCACGTAGCTTATCCTCTAAATGGATACCGTATTCACACCTGGCTGCTTGTGTTTGCAACTGTAAATCAAAATCGCGAATCGATTGATATTCAGACCGAATTGACACATTGAACTTGGCTCTTTCAACTGCCACAAAATTCACCAGTTTGAAGTGTTGGAGGAGTATTTTCTTTAGCGTAGGATAGGAACAATTGATTGGTGACTCCGGGAAAGCCAAGTTTTTGACAAGGGCATAGGCTTGCATACCGATGAAATGTAGAAAGAAAGCAACCTTCTTCTTCTCGTCCAAATCAGATTTTGTGAGACACCAAATGTCAAACCTCTCGAGATAATCCTCCACATCCCGAGAATGTGAATTAATGGATAATCGATCAATTTCAGTAAACATTGTGAATAGTGCAAGGGCGCGACTCCAAATGTTGTGATTATTGTAGTCAGAATTCAGTTGTGTAGAATAAAGTTCGAACGTATAAGAATTGCAAAACACAATTAGACACAACAACACAGAACGTATATTATCGAATCGTACGTATCACCAAATTATACAGGATATTGGAATAGTAAAACAATTGCATAACAGAAGGAGACAAAGTTTATCAGTTATGTTCATCACATAATTATTTTTAGCCGCGTTTGGTCGATTTAGTTGACCGGTCACAGTCAGAGTTTGTTTTCTAACGGTGTGACATCACACTATGCTCTTTACAGCAGTTAGTTTCCGCACTAACCGATCCGTGAGCAGTATAAGCTGCTTTATGTGAGTAGGGATCTAACCGAAAATCTACCGATTAGTTAAAATTGGGAGCCTCATAAGGAGTCTATTATTAATAAGTAGTTCGGTAGGTTAGATAATTGAGACCAAACTGTGAAAAATCGGGGCTTCGGCTGGATTCGAACCAACGACAGAAACAGCATACTGAAGCGCGGTAAGCGCTGTACCGACTGGACTACGAAGCCACGCCGGGAGCTCGGAAGTTTCATACTTGGACTCCGTTACTCAACCCTCTCACTGTCTCATATGGAATCCACCAAAAGATTCAAGGATCGACTGTCCCGTTTGGATTTCTCTAACAGTTCACGCTGATGCCCACCAGTACCATTGTTGAGCACAGAAATTATATTCGTAGTAAATGACTTGACAGAATAAGTTATTTAGGGGAGACCCAGCTGGTGGAGGAGTAGGTAACAGAGTCCAGATATGAAACTTCCGAGCTCCAGCGTGACTTCGTAGTTCAGCTGGTAGAACGCTCGCCGCGTTTTGATATGCTTACCACAATTTGACACGCTGGTTCTCTCACTGGTTTGAATCCAACCAAAGCTCAGATTTTTCACAACTGAGTCTTCTTTATATTAATAAGGATTCGTTCACATCGATTATCGACATGTTCTTTGAAACAGCACTGGAAGTTTTCGAACCGTTCCAGGATTATAAAGGCTACAATTGCAGTTCTGGGAGAAATTTTTGAAACTGCATAAAGTCTTCAAAGTTTTGGAGATTAAAGAAAACTTTTTCTCCTAATACGCTAGATTTTGTTCCATTCGTCGATTGTTTACTTTAGAATATTGCAAAACATATCAGTCACATCCAATTTTTGATCTGAAAATGTGTGTTAACTGGGTATCCTCATAGACAGTCCCAATTTCACAAAAGGGTACGATTAGTTGTACTAAGTTTCTGATGGCAGTACAAGATGATCAGGAAATATATGATAATGGAGACACACAAGTTAGTATTGCCATTGAAAGTGTTTGGAAAAAATATATCCAAGTTTTAGCATTCTTAGGAGCAAGCTTAGCATTAGACGTTGGAAATTAAACAACTGTATCACAGTTATTAGCCAGCTTTTAGAGGTTTTCAGAGAAAGAATGTTCAGATCAAAACCATCAAGAGGCTCGCATTTACTTAAGTTTCGACGTCATTAACGGAATTGCTTTAGTGTCGGTCATTATGTCTGTCAATAAACGGTGTCGTGATGCGGAGTAAATTACAACGTGCACCAGTCTGTTGCACTTGTAACAGAAAAAAAATCAAATAAAAGCATAGGTAACTTGAGTACATCATTATCATCCCAGAAAGCAATACATCAGTGGTCTGTATTGATGCTTAACTGCCATACAACCACGAGAAAAAAAGCAGGCCCTGTCCAGGTAGGAAAACAAGGGAGAAGGGACTTAATTGTTAAAATAATCATGTCTATATCCAAGCATACAACACCAAGGTGCTTACAACTTGCGAGCAAACACACAGGCTCTAAGTGAAGGTAAATCACCACTGGTAAGACAACTTCCTTGCGGCTTTGGTTTTCCCGACGTGATCAATTGCACCCACTTCACAAACGACTCGATCGGGCGATGAAAACATTCACACTACTGAGACAGATTAACAGCTACTTCACTAGCCATCGAATCCATGAGTCGCGAGGGCCGCATCCCGGGAGACGTATCTGATCTACTGTGGCCACCCCCTTGGAAAACGATTTCATTTCAATAGGCATTTATCGGTCACCTTCTGTTTCCGTTGTACATTATACCAGTCGACCTTAACATCGTCAAAAAATGCCCGGTGTGACAGACGACTAATTGATATCCATAATACATGGCCTAACCATCTAAGTCTGTAGAAACCTAGAGACTAAACCGAGGAACTCGCTTGGTAGTCATTGTCAACTACCCACTTCCTGACCCCTTTGTTACTTACTCGTTGTTACCATCGGATACGAGCGATCGAACACAGACATTAATGGTCTTCTGCTTTGAGCGGTCAAGGTTCGGAGTCGTAAGATAACAGTGTTCACCGTCGTCTTACATACACGGCCTTTCAACATTAGAGAGCTACCCCTCTCTCGTCAGAAGTGCCCCAGATTAATGAGCACCGCCTTAAAGACACGTGCTTTTATTTCATTCTCTACACCTCCGCCGCAAAAGATACAGCTTATCAGATGACCAAACCGGTCAACCACCGCCTTAACTTCATTATCAAAAACGATATCTGCGTAACCATAGCAATCTTGCAGAATCATTTTATAATCTCAGTTTACAAAGCGCATTACAAAGTGTTTACCAGAGTGTGTAAGTTTCCAACGTTATCTGTGCAACTTAGAATTTGTCAAGCAGCATCTTGTCATCAGCTTCATCTAGATTAGCCAGCCTTCCATCAGGTAGCAGGCCCACGCTGGCTTCTTGTGAGTGCTGTCGGTGGCAAAATTTAGTAAAAGTAGTGAAGGTGGTCAGCCTAGACGTACGCCACTTCTGGTACTGAAATTGTCGGACAGTTCACCGTAAACCCTAACCTGAGCTGAAGCATGGGGTAAACTTTCACATACTTGTTCGGTACGGTTGCGCGGTGAAAGTGTGGGTCGATCAACCGAATCGAGCACACCCTCATAGTTGAGAATTACGGCGACTGTCTGCCAGTGATATGCAAGATGTTGCCACAAAATTTGACGAGGCTTGAAAATTTGATGAATACATCACTGTCCAAGGCAAAACCTATCTTGTTCTTTCTCAACTTTCGCTTCCCTAGCTACAATGTGCCGACGAATTATGATGCATGCCAGAGTCTTACCAATGACTGAGATCAAGCTAAGTCCCCTGTGGCTTTTGCAAGAGCCACGGACACCTTTCTTGAATATGGGAACTATTATCGAGTGACCCCAACCCGGAGGGATGTTCTGCGTCGTCCATTCAGGTTGAAATGACTGAGCCGGTGCCTTTCCTAATGCCTGCTTGCTTTCTTTGAAAAACATCAGCAATAGGTCATCTGGGCCAGCGGCCCTAGTGTATTTGAGATCCCCAATGCAATTATGGACCTCAGTTTCAGTGGCTGATCCTAATTCTATCGACCGTGGTACTACATTACAAGTTGTGGCAGTAACAGAACAGGACCAGGGAGCTGGCACATATAGCCCGCTTACGAGTAGCCTCGTATGTCGGTTGTTGAACAAGTCGCTTGGATAATCCGGTACACGCTCATAATATGGAAAAGTATGTGCTCTGGCAAGCAAACTCCTCAATGGAAGGCTTCCTCTTTTTGTTGAGTTCGGTGCAAATTTCTGAATAAACGACGGTAGTGCATCTTTCTGTGGTAACTTAGACTATATATGTACTGCCTTCATTCGTTGACATCGACAACTAGTAAAACATTTAGCCCGTTTCAAATGAACAAACTGTCTGAGAAATGTGAGGATCCGCTGACGCATACTTGGAAAATGTGCAAGACCGCGACATATAACCGAGATAGTAAGATATCAGTCTTTGTTGATTAGACCGTTTACTCCGTATACCGACGGAGCGGCTGCTATACCGCGACTTATTTACCGTAGTTTTTGGCAGTTTGAAGAATGTGAAAGTTAACCAAGCGATAACGTTGTAGTGAGCTACAAATATCTTGACCATTCCGCTAAGAAATTATAGTAGGCACTGTCTACCCGGTTAGTAATTTTGCGATTATCCACACCGCCAAGTGAAAGCACTCTTTGTCATGTCAGTGCGTTGAGGTCAGGGACTAGCTTGTATCCGTAAACCTGTCCACTCTTCTTCATGAACCTCAGTAGTTTTCGTTTATTTGTCTATTTTTTAATGTTTGTTTCGCTATATGTTGTGATTCCAGAAATACAGGAATGAACTAATTAAATTAGCTCAACCTCAGAGCTAGTTTCGATGCAGTAGTGATAACACCCCCGAGCTGAGCGAATCAGATATTTATCTCTGGAGCGCAACTGTACAGCTTATTACCTATAGTGTAACAAAACAACAGTAATGAAAAATAGGTTTATTGACAATCGACACGTTAGCCTCAGTTTGACTGAGCGTCAGGATTGTTAAAGCTCCTGTATTGTTTATTTCTGAGGGATTCAGACAATTGCAGTTATGAAGGTTCGTTCTCAACAGCATCTTCAACCGAGGGACTTGAACGTGAAATAGACTCAAAAACATCGGCATTAGTGATAGGCACTTCAGGGGTAAAAACATGTAAACTATAGACAAGTTGATCGATGGGTCTACGATGGACTGGCTCATCATCTATATAAAGTATGCGATGCATTCGAGCACTCAGGTTATTGAGTACAATTCCTCGAGATGATCGGAGGTCATTGTCATGCTGGTACACAACTTCAGCTGATTTCAAACTAAGCGTGTTGTTTAGGAGAACACGATTCTTGGATAGCTTAGATAGACTGCTCTCAGTTGTTGAATAATCTGAACCTCGATATTGCATCAGAAAGTTATTCAAGCCATTCTCCTGGTTCTTAAAAATCGGATGGGTTGATAGACTGAATCACACTTTTCAAGATAAGCTCAAAATTTCCAGTGGCACCGTTCGATTGAGGATGTCTCGATGCAGTGAACAGATGTTGACAGTCCACGTTTTTCAGCCAGTCATCAAACGTCCAAGCAGTGAAACGAGTGCACTTGTCAGTGACCAAAGCATATGGTACTCTCTCCCAACTGGACGTTTATCGAAATGCAATCAGAGCGAAGTCCGCAGCTGCTGACGACGTGAGATAAACTTGCAGCCAACTTGAATGTGAATCAAGAGTAATCTAAGCGTAATACTTATCTAAGAATGGACCACATTTCTCAGCATGTATTCGTTGCCAGGCATCACAAGTCACTGACTAGGGTGTCCATTCTTATGGTCGTGATTGCGGTTTGTGTACACACTGAGCACAACCTTTGGAAATGTTACATAAATCAGCACTCAGTTCTGGCCACCAACAAGTTAGACGAGCCAATGATTTCATCTTATCCATTCTCAAACGACCGGAGTGTAAATCTTCTAGTACGACGGATCGTAATTTGGGAGGAATAACAACTCTATCACCAAAACAAACTGGTCAATCGGGAGTAACAGAGAGCCCATCTCGACGTTTTTAGGATTCAAGAAATGTTTGCCGGACACCTGACCTCCAACCATTGCGTAATGAAGTAAAAACTACATGGAAGTATTTTTGGGT